CATGGGGGGGCGGTGCTGGTGGCAGTCCGGGGGAGCTGGCGTAGCCGAGCAGAGCCGTGGGAAATCCTAGGAGCAGTAGGAGCCGGGCGCCCACGTTGCCTGGCGGGTGCCGACGCGCCCTGCGAGTCTAGACGCTGCTCTGGAAATAATTCGACTTCCCTCGCTTCTGCTGGTTTGGGAAGGCGCGTGCTCCCCGGAGCGGCGTCAGCTACCTCTTTCCCGACGATAGATCGTACGCTGCCGGGTTTTATAGTTTAACCCGTGTTAGGTAGAGTTTTGCATTTAAAGAAAACTAATCAAAACGCTCGATTGCCTGCTCCGAGCTTATCGTCCGTGTTTTCCCCTCCTGATGTTGCCTCTCTCAACCCTTGGCGAGCTGCAGGTTCTTGCACAGCCAAAGTCACGGCTGCAGGTTGTGCAGATGTGGAGAGATTTGGGGCTGTCTGAACTTCAGTGTTAATTTCTCGGGAGTTCTTGTCGCAAAACCCGAGTCACACGTGAAGTTGCACAAACATGATTAATACATGCAATGACGATTTATTATATGAAGGAAATAGCCCCTTCAGTTTATGCGTCTTTTTCTATTGAAAGACGTTTTGAACGACCGTTTTCCACGTTAACACTAGAAATACATCTGAAAATGCGCAGTTAACCAAACAACTGCCACTACTTTTCAGGATTTGTATTGTTTTATTCTATTTCAGAGTTATAATACTACCAGTTTCAACTACCGTTCCTTGTGGAAGCTTAAGAGATAAAGACCTAGTGAAAAAACAATGCATGTCAGCTACAATGATTTAAACAATATAGACTGTTTGCAAAAAAAAAAAAAAAAGTCCATAAAAGTTGGATCAGTCACGTGGTTTAAGAAGTATGCGCCAGTTTATATCTCTACAACAGCATCGGTGTGAGTAGGCGTGCTTCCTGATTTCCCGTTTGGCATAATCCCCGTGAAGCAGTTCAGACTAATCAGATTAATGCTCCTCTAACAGGATCGTAGAAAATAGTGCTAAAATTTACCTTGAAGGACCGTTTGGTCGTTTCCACTGTACAAAGGAAGGGTAAGCTCTACGTAAGCTGTTTTTCAGACTGCACAGCACCCCTTTCACTCTGTCAGTGTTCTGCCTAAGTTTTTCTTTTTTTCTTAATATCGTATACCTTTCTCATTTAAACCTATATACAAATGTCCTAAATTGATCACATGCTCTGTTTTAGAAACTCTTAGTATTTAAAGATTGATAGATCGTTGTAACCTTTATGGCTTTGTAGACGATAGGACGTTAGTGATTTATTTTCCTATTTGAAGTACAGCAGTGATCTGCAACTGGTAAATGACAGACAACGTGTTGCTTGTACAACCGTCCAGTACTGCATACTGTCATAGAAACCTGTTGCCGTTGTAGGTCAGACTGGTATGGTAAGCAAAGTACTTTGTGCTGCTATAAACGTCTTATTTGCTCTTGGGATCTTGCAGTGAGAAGGCAGGTGCTTAGTGCTTTCAATTTTTGCACGTTAACTAAAAAATAACCCTTACTTTTTCCCGATTCAGTGCTAAGCACTCTCAGCTAGACGTTCCAAAACTGATCTTTAAAGCATTAGTGAGTCTACTAGAGCTAACCAGTTATTTGAGACTACTTTGATTTACTTTTTCTATCTGAGAATACTGGAAGGGGTGAAATGATGAGGCTTTGAAGTAGAACTGATTGCGGTTGATGGCTGGTGCATAGTTTTTTCACATCAAACATGAATGTGAATAAATAGCCTCTGTTTCCCCAACAGGCACGTTCATTTTAATAATTTTACGTGGTCTAGGCAGTGATACGCACAGTCAGATCTATCCATGCTTCTGACTCTTCTTCATCATGGCAGTCTGAGTTAAGGTGAAGTTTGAGTATTTGGAAGAAAATACATTTTAAGCAACAGAGATGCTATTCTACTGTAGTTGACCAACACTGAGGTAAAATAAATGATTTCAATTATACCTGAACCTGAATAAAAATGCCTTTTAAGCTTCCGTGAGATGTCAGCAGATTTGTGGAAATAATATTAAACTTGTCACTGAAGAAAACCTCCTTAAAACCCAATAAGTGGTAACTATAATGCCAAGCACATCTATATTAAGTAGTCTGCGGAGTCTGACCCCCTTTTCCCTTTGTTCTTCCGTTTCTGGTTCCTTGGAGAACATTTGTTTCGGGGCCGAACTCGCAGCAAGACTGAGTTGCCGCATTCTGAGTTAGTTGAAGAGTTTGCACGTTTGAATCCAGTCACGTAACCCCCATCAGCCCCCTCTAATCCTGTAGTTACCTGACAAAACGTCGACACTTTGGCTTTTACCAGTAAATTTTCCTAGATGTCTAGAGCTCCAGTTACAGAACTGCTGCTCCTGCCGGGTGAGGAGCTTGACGCTGCTGCCTGCCCGGGATCCTCCAACGAGGACTTTGCGTGCCAAGGCCCTCAGGGGCTTTGAGATCGTGTACTCGGGTCCTGTCTAGTGCAGGCTGACGGCGTGGACTTCAGCACAGAAGAGAGCCGCCGCAGCCG